CAGTCAATGAGATTTTTTCAGTGCTGTCCATTTCATTTGTCTCTGTGGCTCAGTGGCACAATCAGAAATACACAGCAGCTTACCCGAAAATTATTTAGACCTGTTGTCTGACACTGAGCCTCTTTAACCAGCTGCTGCTGGTTAAAGCAGATGATGAAAGGACCAACAAGCTTAGTGATGGATCTTGAGACAGGTCCCCTCAAGGATTGCTCTGTTGTTATTTCAGCAAGTGATATTATCTGTTTTGGTATTTCTTCCCTGGGAACTCTTGACAGGGAAAGACCTATTGGTTTTTAAGTTATTTAGCACATTTGAAAAAAACCCCAAATCCACTTAATTTTTTTCTCAACAAAAAAAACCCCTAAAATTCTTAATTATTTTTAAACAGTGCTTGTTGTTCAAGGAATGTAGCACATGAATTTAATTTCAACTTCCCATGGTGGCTTGTTTCCTTGGAAGTCTGTCAAATCTTTGTGTCACTTTCTTAAGGCTGAGAGAATCCAAAGCAGTTGGCATTTAGAGATTAGTGTTTTCATCTTCATTCAGCTAGACCTATTAAAACCTGTTCTATTAAAATGTTGCTCCTAAATGTAGAAGATCCCCAAAGACTGTGAGAGTCAGTGAGTTTGAATTGATGTGATGGGGCTCTGGGGCCCTCAGGACATGGACCTGCTGCAGTGAGTCCAGAGGAGGCCACGAATATGATCAGAGGCCTGGAGTACTTCTCCTATGAGGAAAGGCTGAAAGAGTTGGGGTTGTTCAGCCTGGAGAAGAGAAGCTCCAGGGACACCTAATTGCAGTCTTCCAGTACCTAAAGGGGGGCCTACAAGAGAGCTGGAGAGAGACTATTTCCAAGGGCATGCAGTGACAGGATAAGGCAGAATGGCATGTTTACATTAAATGTTAGGAATTAGATGTTAGGAATTAGATGTTAGGAAGAAATTCTTTACTGTGAGGGTGGTGAGAAAATGGAACAAGTTGCCCAGAGAAGTTGTGGATGCCCCATGTCTGGAAGTGTTCAGGGCCAGGCTGGATGGGGCCCTGGGCAACCTGGTAAGTGGAAGGTGTCCCTGCCCAGGGCAGCAGGGATCTAGATGATTTTTAAGGTCCCTTCCAACCCAAACCATTCTATGATGGAAGTAGAGTACTTCGGAATGAAGCACAGTGAAAACAAAGCATCTGATGGTACGAGACCTCTGTGAGTACTATTCAAATATAATGTGTCTTTACACTTTAGTTGATCAATATCAAGTCTCTTTGACTGTCTGAAGTTTCTTTGTCCATTTCCTATTTGCTACCTGGCCAAACTTAGTCCACAGAAACTTTTCTCATCCTTCTGCTTCACTTTTTTCATTGTCATTCTCAAACTTGAGAGCCACATGTTAATCAGTTGAGGAAGGCTGCGTCGTGTAGGGTTCAGGCAAGAAAAATTAAAAGCAATTATTGCTGCTTTAGGCAGGACTTGTGCAGCTCTTTTCTTCACAAGTTTCACTCCAGCAGTTAGTGTTTTGACCAGGCCTTTGGTGTTCCCTCCTGAACTTTGCTGGCAGCACAGAGGAGACTGTCAGTACTGCTGGCAGAGCTCCTCATTAACCTTTTTGAACTGGATGTGACCCATGGACTGCTGAGTGAAAGGCCATGCTGTAGTTTTTCTTTTATGTGACCAAAAACTGAGAAAAATAGTTCTGGAATTTACACAAACTAAGGGAGCCCAGCAAATATGCATAATGTTACTGAGCAGGAGGGGTTCCCCCAAAGCATAAATCTGAGGCATTTGCTGTTTCTATGCTGAAACGTGAGACCTGCCACTGATGTGCCTCAAGTTCACGCTGAACTGATGCAGCTCTGCACAACTTTGACACACCTGTGCTATTAGCTGCAGGCATTAGTGTTTCCCAATGGAATTCTTTTGTGGTTACAAAGTAGGCTTTGTACATTTGGAAGAACAAAGCAAACAAAACAATTTGCATTGATTAATTTGATTAATATCTTGCTTAGAACATGGAAAGTGTTGATATGCTCCAGTATCAATACAGCCACAGACAAGTTTCAGCCCTAAATCCCATGTTGTTGGCTTATGAACATAGAATCCAGGCTCTACCCTTGGAGGGAAATTTACTACCACATCACCTACACTTTAAATTACTGTAAGGCAGCTCATTTAGTACTCACTTGTTCATGAAGCTGCCAGAAAATGTTCCTTTCATTTGAAACAAACTTGAGGCTATTTTAAGAGTTCAGCACCTCAAGGCAGGTCTTTTCAGCTTAACCTAATGCAAGCCAGTAACTATTTCATTGTGCAGAAGGCTCTGATCCTGGTTGGCAGGTGAACAAAGTGGGATGCTAGAATCCTTGACAAATGTAGCATAGCTGTAGTCTGTTAAAACAAGGAGGTTACTTAATAGCTGGACTTGAGAGGGGAACTCAAATGCTGAAAAATGTGCTAGTGCATCCTACTGCTTTGACTGCATGGTAATACACACAGTTGAAGCACAATTCTGAGAGATGAAAAAGGATAGAACAGTTTCTAACCTATAACTCTAAATCAAATATAATTAATAATGTATAAATCTATAAATCATACTATATAATTCTGTGGCAAAGAATAAATACAAATGAAGTTATGCAGTGATGCTTTTCCTGTTTTGCTATGAGGACTGCTGTTAATATGGACATTTTCAAGGCTGGAAGAATGACTGGAGATGGACAGATGAGTATTTCATACACATCAGGATTGTCAGATTGGTCTTTGTCCATCAAATCATGAGAGCTTCCAAGCTCTCTGTCCCTATACAACATCCTTGATGATTGTATTACAGAGCACCAAGGAAATGCAGGCTGTAAATTGGCAAAACAGAGTGTAATATTGATGTGGTCAAACAAACAGTAATATCTAGTGCCTCGCCTAACAAAAACAAACCTCATAATGCCTTGCACATAAGTGCATAAAGAAGCTGTCATGTGAACATAGATCTGTTTTTATCTATAAAGCAACACATTTTGATAACAGAGAACCCATCTCCAACACTGCACCCTAGGTCTCACTAGACTAGCATTATTAGAATAACTTGAGTAGGATAACTGCAGATAATTCCTCTGGAAAGTCTCAGTCATTCTTATTTAGTTGTTATTCCTATGCTGTAGCATCAAACACTTGATTTAGATGCTATTACTGTGTAAGGATTACCAAATTTCTCTCTTCATGTCTTCAAAATGAAGTACATGTAGGAGCTTCCGAAAGAGAACTTCTGTCTTCTCAAACTGAAATTCCCAAACCAACCATCTTTAAAATAAAGTTCTCTTGTCCAACCTACTGATAGTCTGTAATGCAGTGCTGCTCCCTTCACTGCAGGTATGGCACTCTGTAAATCCCTGGCACAAAGATGTGATGATAGAAGGCTATCAGGATTTTTTGAAGTAAAATTGCAAAAACTTCTATTGAATTGTATTACAGGGAGTGTGGGTGGAGGAGTGGAGGTTGTGGCAGGGGAAATCCCCATCACACTCTTCAAAATAATCTTGATCTCATTTTCTGGTGTTGCCTGGCCAGGCCGCATTCTTTTCTGTGGCCAGATATGGTTTTGGCCAACATATGGCTTTCCTGACCTCTGTCAACAGCTACCAATTCACATCCACAAGCAAAGTAAACTTTTGCAAGTTTACATGTACTAGCCCAAATCTCACTTGTATATCTGTACTGTCACCCTAAAATAAATGGATGCATAATGGAGACCCTAAGGCTACACTGGGTTAAAGCCAAATCTAGTTCAGCTCGTGGTAGGCTGTGCCTCTGTACCCTGACAGCCATGTGCAGTTCTGCTCTTTTTTATTGTGGGTTCTGTCATTTGAGTATCATTGCCAAGTATGGAGTGTGTTTGGGTGAGGAAAGTTAGGTGGTAAAGGCATTTCCCCTGTGCTAGGTGATTCAGTATAAAAGAACGTGTTCTAAGAGAACCTTTACTTTGACCTGTGCATGTACGTGCCAGTACTATTGTGCAATACCTTGCTGACTGGCTAGATCATAAATCTAGTACAAAACCTTTCCCATGCCAGCAGGTGCAGTTGCCATTTTAACAGGATAAAGTTTTAAGGCAGATTTTGTCCGTGTGTTGTGTAAATTTTTATAGAAATCCATTATTCCTACTCCTATAAAGCCAGTGGAGCTTGAGAAAGGTTCACCCCAAAGAATGAAGTGCTCCAGAAGCTGAGTTATCTTCTCTGTGAACACAGTTTTTTTAACAATAAAAATTACATCGAAAAACGAAGAATTCAAGCACAGCACTGGCCAATCTTGTTTGAATTTTTTTAAATTTTTATAGAAATGCATGAAGTGTTATTAGATCTCCTGAATCCTCAAGACATGCTGCACTGAATGCAGAGCAAAGCTGCATGCAAAGCTGCTTTTCTGGTGAGAGAAATCAGTTACTTGAAGTTTGTCATTAAAAGGTTTTTGAAACCTTTGCCACCCAGGGCAATTTCACTTTAAAGAAAAAAGATTAAGTGGTTTTCTAAACATATTCTCCCTGAGAAGCTTGGAAAGGAGGAATTCACACCTGAACTAGAGTGATCCTTTTGAAAAAATACTGAAATTTTACTAGGTGCTCCCTCAGGAGATCACTGCTTCTCCTTCAGCAGCTAAAATCTTTCAGCTATCTTTTTGATAATGTTTCCTACAACAAATAATTCACTTGGCTTTTTCTTCCTTAAGCCACTTCACAGAATGATAAAGTGCCCACATCTGTTGTGGAAACACCAGGTTTGCTGAGGAAATGCTCAGGTGACTCCACTGAAAATGCCAATTGCTCTGTGGAGTTAAGACAGCCAGGTTTCACTTTTTGAATCTTCCCATGCTACAGCAGAGACCTCTAAGCTATCCACTCTGGTCCTGTACAGAGCTGCAAAGGCTCAAGCAAACACAATTCCAGGTAGACACACTTGGGGTCTTTTTTTTTTTTTAAGAGAATAAAGTATAGAAATAGAGAAAATACAATTTTACTTACTCTCAGACGTCTGACTAACCGTGACTGCTAGAACAACCAAAACAGCGACTAAGTTCACATCCATTCCTCCCAGGAGCTGTGGGAGCACAGCCACAGAGCAGGCAGTGAGCTGAGCTGCAGGACTAACACCTGACCCTACCTCCCGGCTGCTGGGGATGAACGTGGCTTAAAGCCCCACCCTGAGCAGCAGCTTGACGTTGGCGTCCTGTGTGGCACTATGGACTTCAGCAGGATTCCTCTTCCCACCTGTAGACACATGGTTAAGTGTTTTGCCAGATGGGAAAATCAGCTGTATTCCACATAGTGCCCCAAGATGGTACTGCCTTACAGCCAGATCCTCACAGCCCCCACTGATGAGGCTCTTCAACAACAGAAATGCCAAGAGTAGAAATAATTCAGAACCAAGTCCTTGTGGGATTAAGGCAAAAGGAGAAAAATCCTTTGCTATTAGGTATCATCTCCATGAAGCTAAACAAGCATTGTTGTTGGCCAAACCTGCTGTGTTATAAACAGGTTCAACCTCAAGGAGACCTGTGCTGTAAGGACTGTAAGGACCCTGAGCAAGGCCCATATTATTCCTGCCACACTTGGCATTCAGCACTGGTTCAAACCTTAAAAAACCAAAGAAAGACTACTGTGCAATCTCAGCCTGAATGGAACACTGTGGCTGTATGAGTAGCAAGCAGTTGCTGTATTCCAGCAGGCTGTCTGCACTGACCTTTCCCAGGGCTGAACCAGAAAAATGAGTCTGGAAATTCTCTCTGCTCAACCAAGCTCATCTTTGCTCTGGCTTATTACAGCCATCCTTACCATTCCTAAATTTGCAGAGCGCAGGGTAGAAGACACTGCTAACCTCAGGGACTTTAATCTATACTTACACTGTCCCAACACCAGTTTTGCAACTCCATCTAATAATAAATTAATATAGTGCAATCAACCTTTCTAGCTATCAGTGTTTTACTTTACAGCTCTCGGTTTCTGCTTGACTGTTATCTATCAGGATAAGAAACTGGGGCAAATCCAGAGTGCACCACTTGAAATGTTGTACTTGAAATGCAAGTCTACTGTTAAGAGGAAAAAGAGTAGATGATAATGATGTGTGCTGTTTAAAGAATGATTTCAGGGAAGTAACTTATGATGAAATCAACAAGCTGATTCATTGTCACCATTTAATTACAGTGAAAAATCTGTATTATAAAAGCTAAACAACACCTTTATTAACTTGAACCTATGTAAGTATAAGACTATTAGCAGCATTAATGTTCTTCAGAGTAGCATGAAGAGGAACAAGTTAGAGTAAAAGAAATATGAGATAGGTGTTACTGGAGTAACATGTTAAAGGAACAGTTTCAGTCAATATTAGAATTTGTATTCCAGTGTCTGGTTGATGCTGTAAACTGGGTGCTTTGTTTCCTTGCAGATAATTAATTAGTTTGTTATGGCAAATGCTTCACATGGGATCTCCAGGTACAGTTTTAAAAGTTTGATGTAGATTACAAAAGTATCACCACAGTGTACTATGTGGACTATGGAGTATAGGGAGCTGTAGCAGTGATGGGGATGGAGAAAGAACCAAAGCACCCTGTGTTTCTTATGACTAGTTCCTGTATGACAAGTTTGAAGTGTTCCCAGGGGACTGCTCAGACACACACACCTGCTATGTTCTCAAAAACACAAAGCAAATACAGGTATCTGCAGGTATTTATTTTCTCTTCTGCTGGCAACAAACAATAGCACACTGAATAAAACTTATTTCTTTCAGCGTGAACTCAAGTTTTACATCTCATGTTCCCTCAGAGGTCATGGTCTCATTCATAGGTCCAAAATAAAGCAAATGGTTTTTTACTTCAATGGGAAAGTGCAGCAAGGAAACTATGATTGTGTCAGATCCGGAACATGCTTTTCACTTTATGGAGGCTATATAATGTGTCAACAATTTAAAATGCTAAACCTAATAGAACGGAGAAAATGTAAACTGAGGAAACAATGCTGATTTATGAGATTGAGAAATTAAAAATAAAATCAAAGTCAGAGAACAATAGCAAATATTGTGCTATGGCTCCACGTGAATGTGTAGGCAGCCATCCAATTTACAAAGGAAGAAGGAGCTAGCCAGAAATTCTTTTCCAAGAATTGGGCTGACATAGTTGACAGTGGCATTAGTTATAAGCATAGCTGAAGGAAGGCGAAGAGTTCTATTGACATATTGATTTGGATTGCATTCAAAGCTCAAATCAAAGCGCTAACCTGCAGGTAGAAAGTGTTGCAAATGAGAAGCTAGTCATACGTCCATCCTGAGAAACAAATTCTTGTTTTAATCCTTTTAGAAGTTCTAGCTTTTATTTGAGAATGTAAAACTGCTAGAAAGGCTAAAACTGACAGCTCTTTTAATCTGAGTCTTTAATTTTTGAGCAATGGTTAATGATTTTAACTTCTTCTACATTAATATGCATTGTAACATGATACCCTCAGTTATATATACACCATTCCCCAGTTACTCAAGTGGAGGCAAGAGTAAATGGCCCTTCTGTAATCTATTCCTGTAACAATCTTCTTTTGCCACAGGAATGCTGATTACTGAGGAAGACTAAACCACTGACTCAGTTTGTTAAAGCAGGATAATTCTGTTAAAACAACTTTGGATCTTTGCTGTTTCCAGCAAGGCTTAATTTGATGAAGGCTTCTGACATACTGATAGATGCAAAAGGGTTATCACAGTACTTCCCATTACTCCGTAAATGATCATAATCATCAACTCACAATAATGATATTTTTTAACCTAGACTTGCTTAAATTATGAATGGAAGAGTTCACAAAATTATATTTTGGACTTCCTAGCAATGTCTCCAATTGTTTGTGTGGGCATCAAAATCCCAAACTGTGAACTCCTCAGATGTCCCCTATTCTAGACTGCATCAGCTGGCCCTGTGCCTACCATAAACCCCCTGACTTTAAAATTCTCTGCATAACTCTCATTCAGACTTCTGCATACCAGATATTTATCTGTGGGTAGTTTAGCTGGGGAAAAAAAAAAAGAGTCCAGAAGAAAACTTTGAGCTGTGAACGTTATAAATGGTTAATGCACTTACTAAGATGCAAGCCAGCCAGATTCAGTTCTCTGCCTGAGAGGAGGGTATGGATAGACCCAATTCTCAGGAAAGCTCCCCAACAGCCAGCTGAAGCCTCAGCAGGGTGTATTTTATACTCAGCATTACACCTTTTTGCTACATAAAACCTAGAAGAAACTTGAGGTGGGACTGAAGCACCCACTTCCCTTCCATCAGGTGAATTTACCCACAAACAGATAATGCTGTCATACTCCTGTGGTGCTCAGCCTCCCCAGGACCCTCTGGTGCACAGAGCTGCAGCACTTATAGGAAAAGCTGAGAGGCTTGTCCCTGTCTGTGCTGTTGCCTGGCACTTAGGGCATGGACTTTCCACTCCCTGACTGCTAAATTATGACAGAATAGGATGAAAGTTGAGTTTTTTGGAAGAACGCAGGATTTTGTTCTGAAAAAGATATTTTGGGCTTTACAGACCAATAAAACAAGTGCAGTGCCAAAATTGCAGAGAAATACCTAGTATTTTCCATTGTTCATTTCAGTAAAATGTTCCATATGGGTATTCTGAATTCCATCAGAAGTAGCTGACACAGACAGACAGAAAGACAGAAAGACACCCCAGCCCCCACCCCCCCATTTTACCTTTTACCTGGGAGTGTCTCTACTGGACTTAAGCTCTTACTGTGGCAGCATCTATCACCACCAATGGAAACAGCACAGAGAAAGCCCCTACCACCAGGGCACAGCAAAAAGGGATTGCTCCTGACAGGAGAGGCCAAACCACAGGAGGAGGCACAGATGCTAATAGGGATGAGAAGCTGACTGGCATTCAAAAGAGAAGTGAAAATCTTTCTGAAGCGAGAACTATGAGGAAAACTGAAGTTGATACAAGTTCTGTGACTCTGTTCCTCTATGAAGGCAAGAAACAGATACTGCAGGGAAGATGGGCACAAAAATATTGCAGTCTAGGGAGGCAGACACCCAGAAATCCATTACTGAGGAAGCAAGGAGTACCATTTGATAGAATGCTGTGTTAGCATCTTGTTGCAGATGTTGAACCATTCTGGGAAGTCAGCCTTGAGCAGAGACCCAGGATTCCCCTCAAGAACTTTCTTCAAGACTGCCAAGGAGTACATTATTGCCAGTGAACTGAAAGTTTGGCTTCCAGTGGCATGTTCCCCTCATTTGAGAGAGGCAAATTATAACCCTTCCTGTACATCCAGTATGACACTTAAGGCTGACATACTATTATGCAGCATTAGAAGATGGACCTAATCCATTGAGGCAGTGAGCAAAAGGAAAAACTGAAGACCCTTCCCTTCTCAATCTCTATATTTAAAAAAAAAATCATAATTTAGAGGACCACAAGATGGATGCTGAAGAGAAAGAATGGCAGATGGCTGATTGGTTCAGGACAAAACCTGACGCTGAGATGCACAAATGAGAAATAAGTAGACTGGGATTCGTATTTCTGAATAGAACAAAGACCATTAATTCTGCATGCTTCCTTATTAGTTATAAAATAAACATATTTTCTTGACTACATAGTTTAGTCATTCTTGAAACCAAGTAAAAAATGTAAAATGGAACCATTTACATGTGTCCACACAGCCTCTTTCCAACTTGGCCTCCCAAGAGCCTTTGTCTTTTGTCATGACAAAGCGAGTGCCAAAGACCAGGTTCCCCTAAGTTTTGGATTTTTTTTTGTCGTAGGCCTTAACCGACTTTTAAATGAGGAAGTGAATCTATTATTTTGATTCTAAAAGACAAAAATCAAAACGGGGGATGGACAGAAGGTCTACGGACAAACATGTGAAAACTCATGCCCTACAGAGGCAGTACCTGACCACACAGATCACTGCTCTGGATCAGCACGATGCTCTGTTTCTAACCTGCTTCTCCCGAGTCCTAAAAAGCTTGAAGTTGGCTTTCAGGACAAGATCTATTATGATCTCCCTATCTTTAAAAACCAACACTGCATGTATAGGGGGACAATAAAAAGTGAGAAACGTTCAATGGAAATGCATTAAATTGTTTTTAGAAAAAGGCTGTTGCTTTTTTCTACCAACACAAATAAATACGCAGACATTCTGTTTTGCACTTCGGCTGAAAATGTGTTTACAGTCACAGGAGACTTGCGCAGGGACAAGAACAAACATAACCTCCTGAC